AGCAAGCACACAGTTAAGTGGCTGCTCGTCCAAGAAAGGCCATCCAAGCACGGAGACTCCAGCAACGATCGTCTCCAAAAGAGAATTCCATCCACAATGAGTGAGAAACGCACCCACGGAAGGATGCTTGAGAACCTGTGTGGACGGCATATTCAGCAAGAAAAAGAGGTAAAAGAAGAAGCTTACCTTGAGTTGAGGAGCCCAGGAAACAAACTTGCATTTGTCATAACTTGGATCTTCGAAAAGTTTTTGAAGCTCCTCGTTGTCTGATCACGAGTCCCGAATAGAGTTGCTTGATATGGTCAGGAGAAGCACTGGCCAGGCTTCCAAAGGAGATGTAGATGACTGTGGCTGCTCGTCCAGCCAGTCGAGTCAGCTCATATCTTCCGTCCAAAAACCACACCTCTCCCTCCCCTGCTCGACTTCGTCCACTCCAACCTGGCCGTCGAATGCAAATGATGGGAGCAATGGACCGATTGGAACGAACACTGGATTGTCTCTAGCAGGCTGGTCGAGCTGAGATGTTTCCAACTCGTGGAAAGAGTTTATGAACACCCATTTTGTATGATCTGGTTCGTGCTATACCAGGTAGAGAAGTCGGGATCTAAGGGGTGGACTTCTTGAATTTGCAAAGTAAAATCCCGTCCAGCAATTGGAGGGAGGCCGGGTACGAAATCAATGATCCTCGAAGTGCCTAAAAAATAATTTAAAGAAAAAATCAACCCAGACTGGAATAAAAGAAAAACATACCTTTTAGCGGCAAGAGTCCATTTTCCTTGAGCACAAGATGACCATTCTGGATGCTAAGCCACGAAGCAGAAAATGTTGAAAGAGTCACCTTGCAAATCCCGAACTGGCGAGCGACGTCTTGAAGGCTAGTAATTACTACATCGGTGAGCATGCAAGACACTCTAGCCAGAGAAGCATCTGCCATGACATCTTGAATAATTTCTAGCACCGCCAATTGAGATTTTTCTCCAGAATAGCAGTAAACTCGAGCAGAACCGTACAAAGTGCTGGCATTAGCTCGTTGCTCTGTAGCTAATTCTCCCTTTTGTGTGAGACCAAGAAAGTGATGAAAAATCCACTAGATGCAAGCCTCTTACAAAGTTGAAGCATAGGATTCATGTGGCCTTGAGCTGGGACTGGAACTGCTAGCAAGTGTGGTCGCTACTTCATCTCCTCCATAGCTAGACTCCAATGGACACACGTTGTTGTTTCTTAGTTGGTAGTACACAGAACTAAGAAACAAACTAGTATTGGTAGTTGGTCAGAAGTTTTGAATTGCTGCTAGCACATAAAATTAAGAGAAATTGGTAGTTAGTTAGAAGTTTTAAATTTATTTCTATATGGATATTCTATGTTATATAAAGTCTAATAATAAAAGTTTGCTGATTATTATTATCATTATTATTAAAACAATTTCTACGTGTTGCATATACCAATGCTTGGTTTGCTTAATAGTAGTTTTATTATTACTTATTAATCTAATTTAAAAATAAAGTTTATAATTATAAGCATGTTTGTAATTTATAAACACAAGATTAATCTTATTGCATATAAACCATTAGATGATAGAATAAAAAATAATATACTAGAAAAGGTTTAAGAAATTTTATAAATTATAAATATAAAATTAATCTAAATGAATAACAACCGTTAAATGGTAGAATATCCTAGAATATCCAAGCATATTTTAGGTATATCTACCATCCCAGTCTTTCTACAGGTTTGCTTAAGCAAACCAAAAAATTATATATCTAAAAATAATGTAATTAATATAAATATTGTGTTATTATAGTAAGTAGAAACATGTAAAATTTAAACAGAAATTAATGAAATAATTATTAACTACACTTTATTTATCAATCAAAGGAAACTTTTAAAACACTAATGCACCATATTATTTAAATAAAATTAAGCTTTTTAGATCACAGCCATTATGACTACAGAGCTTTTTAACTAATAAATATATGAAATAGGTTTTCTTTGTCAATTTATTTACAATCTGGGTTTATTTATGTTACCTTTAAAGATTTTATGGTATTAGTTAAACTAGTTTGTAAATGACAAAAGCAATCACTTAATTTCTATTAAACATAGTATATTATATACACACACATATACACACACACACATACACACAGATATATATATATATATATATATATATTAGGTCACAACATGAATACTCACATAATAACTTTATAGACGTATGTTTCTTATATTTTTAATATGTTTATCTCTCTTTCTTCCAAAACCAAACCAACGGAGTTATTTATGTGACTGGGCTGATTTGATTATTTTCTCAAGTGGTGAAGCCTTGTAGATAGCCTCCAGGGTAGCTCAGATCCCGGCTAGTTCAAGTTTGAATTTTACATGGAGGCCTTTTGTCTAATCTCTGTGGAGGAGAGATCCACACGAAAAACGTTCTCTGGAAGGGACGAAAACATTTCTTTCACTTCTTCTGGAACATTAACATCCAACATTGTCTGCGAAAAGAATGCATCAATAACGATCATGGGAACAATAAAACTTTCACCTTGAAAACGCCATCGACAATGCGTCCCGCAACCATGAAATCACACCCGAGTCTCTGTACGTTCAGGAGAACTTCCATCATTCTCTCCCTGCTTCCACCATAGTACTTCTCCTGAAGAGATCAATTTTCGTGAAAGTGATGCGAGCAATGATATATAGCTTACATTGACAAGTCTCATCGCTGTGTCAACGCCGACGAGAAACGTACTGTCCGGGAGAATTTCCGCTTTCTTGTAGAAGAAAGGCTGGTTGGTCACTATCATAGTCTTTCCTGGCGAGTTCACAAAACATTGTGAGAACAGACCTCCTAGAATTCTCTCTCCATACCTCTTTCCACGAACTGCTTCACTCGCTGCTTGATCTCATGAACTGGAAGCGCTGGCTTGTCTGCGTTAATTGCTGATAGCTCGAAACACGGACTGCCGCCTTGCACAAGGCTGTAACTTGCGTTAGATCAACAAAAACATTTTCTATCAGGAAACTTACGTGCATGCCGTGCTCATCAGTGTAAGATGACCTTCATGCAATGGATTAAAAGCACCGGAAAGAACGACCCTTCTGCCGGTTCTACGATCTTTGCTATCTGTATCACAACTTATGAAAAAACTAAGCACTGAGCAAATTTCGAAGTACCTTCACCGGGATAACGGACCATGCAGACATTTCCATGTATTAGCTGCTCGAGCTCTTCGTCCTCTGCGTAATTCAGCCTCGACTCTCGAATTTCTTCCTCAGGGCTCTTCAATTCTACTGGTACCGCATTTCCAATCTCACAAACGTCAGCCATAGCCTGGACATAAATCAAAAGTTTGAGCGAACTGAAAAGCCTGGTCATGAAAATCAAAACCTTGATCAGGAGCTGACTGGATAGACAATCCTCTCCAAAACGATCTCTATATCCCTGGAGATGAGATGAGAACAATCGATAAAATTCGTTGCTGTAAATATACAAGACCTTGTAAAGAGTGAGGTCATATCTCCAAAGAGATGAATGCGTTCGAGCAGATATGTGGCATCTGGAAAGAAAAAATGAAAATAAAAATCTTCCACGAAGAACACGAAAACAAAGTCACCTGTGATCCCCTCGCTTGGGACTCCCAGTCGTCAACGCACCAGTGACTCCAAATCCAGCCACCAGAGTGCCTGCACTGCATTCCAAGAAAAAATCCGCTCACTCGATCGAGAAAAAACTCTAGTAGAAATCACACCTGGTAGCGAGAGAGTAAGAGCTCGATTGTAAGCAGCGGTAGCCATCTCATCGGCTACTTCACGACTAGCATATTGCTGTGGAGCCTAAAATCCAAAGATCTTTCTTTGTTAGATCGAAGATATTCTAGCCTACTCTTCCAAGGAGCTGGATCATCGACGCGCGCGTATAGGGAACTGTGGCTTCCAGCAGCGTCTGTGAAGCTCGCGGCACCGACAGCAGCCACCCGAGCGCCTAGAATCCATAGAAATCCCCGATAGCAATCAAGCTAGGAATCGATCGATCGATCCACACAATGCGGCTGCTGACCTGCGATGCGCCGCCGGCGAGGTGAAGAACAGCGTGCGTTGGCGAGGAGTGGATCGCCTCGATCGCCGCCTTCATGGCCGAGTCCATCGAATTGGAAGAACCCTAAACTATTTCACTCTATCATGAGCAGGCCAAGGCTCGTCGTCAAGCTCGGATGCTCCGGCAAGGAGTACATCACTCCTGATCCGATCGCGCAATCCTGGGACCCTGTCGGACCGATGATCCCGTCCCAGGAGCATCGGCTATCAACAAACAGTCGGATCGCTTGCGGCAGGAGATGGGAGGCCCTGATCAATCGCCTCCAGATCATGAGCAGCTCGCCAGAGCTCGTGCAACGCTTGCTTCGCGATAGAGACGATGGTGATAATGTCACTGGAGAGAAGAAAGAAAGAAGGAAAGCTCGAGAAGAACTAAGATGACGAAAATGGAAGAAAGCTCGCAGCAAGAGATCAAGGCCGCGAGCTTCCAGCCGCGAGTGGAAGGAATGGTAGCATCCCTCCGGATGTGGAAGTGATCTACGTCCCGCACGAGATCAAGAACAAGGACTCGGGCCTGAAAATCGGCCGGAGATTGGTCAGGAACTAGACTAGGCAGAGTGTGGAGATTTTTCTCGTATAGAATGTGAGCTTCTTTCTATCTATCTTGTATTGTTCTTGCCTGGATTTTGGGCAATGTACGCGGAGTGTGGCTCCATGGTGGAGCTCATCGCGTGTTTGAGAGGATCCGGGAGCACGATCTAGTGTCGTGGAATACCATTATCCTGGGCTATGCGGAGAATGGAGAGTGTGGTGAGGCCTTGGAACTTTTCTCTCGCATGGAGGACGTCGAGGGCCTTGCTCCGAATCGAGTGACTTTCCTCGCAGCGATCAAAGCCTGCACTCGGTTTGCTGCGAGAGAAGAAGGGAGGAAAGCTTGTCAAGCTAAGCCTGGACGACGGCGATGATCACGGGCTATGAGGAAAACGGCGAGAGCAGCATTGCTCTGGAACTCTACTCGCGACTGGCCGAAGGCCGCTGCGCTCAGACTGCGTCACCTTTGTCGCTGTTCTCTCAAGCCCGCTGTTCACACTCATGTCTCTTCCTTTAACCAAGAGCTCCGGCTTGCGAGCCTCGTTTCTTATTGGAGCACTAGCACAGGCCTTGAGAACCGCAACGTAGCTTTGAGCGTCTGGTAGAATCCTGTCCCTTGTTTGCATGCGGCCGAAGAGCTCGAGAGCTGATTCTCCGTCCCCGTTCTCGGCATAGCCGAGAATCATAATGGTCCACAGCACCAAGTTGCGACCCTTGATCCTGTCGAAAGCTTGACGACCATACTCGATGTTCCCACACTTTGCGTAGGCGTCCACCAGGCTGCTTGCGACGAAAATGTCTTAGTCGAATCCAGCATTTGCAGCTAGAGAGTGTATATCTTTCACTCTCTCGAAACAACAGCCTTGATTCCCTTCCACCACCTTTGCTACCACGCCTTTAAGGCTGCAAGATAAGTCACGCGATCTGGAGTCCACCCTTGTTCTTGGATTCTCCAAACAGCTCAAGAGCTTCTCGGCATACCTTTGAATCAGTGCACTCCACGAAGCTACGTCTCGCGTCAGCATCTTGTCAAACACTCGCTGAGAATCCGTCAAGCTTCCGTAGACGAAGATCAAACTGTTCGCCAGGAAGTGATCCAACATCCAACCGCACTTCATTGCCTCCGAGTGAAGCTCCAAGCACGTAAGTTTCACCATCTTTCCACCGATTTCCTTTAGACTGTCCGTTGTATCCGCTGTACAAGCCGCACAAGCTTTTACGGTCGCAAGGAAAGTAACTCGATTCGGCATGAAGCCTTCGCTTTGCATCCCCACAAATAACTCCAAATCCAGCCCGCCTTCACCATTCACGGCATAAGCTAGAATCATCGCGTTCTAGGACACCAAAGTAGGCTGGATCAAGACTCCGTTGGCGTCGACTAAACTTCCACAACCGGCGGACATAGCGATCAGCGTGTTGGCCACCGAAGAACCGAATCCACACCCACCTCGACCAGCCAGAGAGTGTATTGCTAAAACCTTCTCTCCAGGCACTGAACCTTCACAGCTCTCCCGTCTATCTTTTCGCCTCTCTCCTTCTCTGCCAAGTCCGAGCAAAGTTACCGAGACGGGAACACAGCCATCTTCTTCGCTTTGCATGCTCGAGAAAACGTCAAAGACGACTGCCCGTCACCAACCCATCCTGTCAAACACGGCCCAAGCGTCCACCATGCTTCCATGCGTACATATCCACCAGAGTGCTGGCCACGAGTTTAACCCACTCCTCACAGCTCGAGCGTGAACCTCTCGTCCAGGCTCTAGCGCTACGAGCTTGACAAGCTTTCCTCCAACTTTCCTCCAACTTGTGGGCCGTGCAGATTTGGCTAAAGTTCCCGAGGTGAAAGAACGCGTAGAGAAAATGCTGCAGAAACATGTCGAGACTCAAAGTGAGACAGCAACGGGGTTAGCTTTCGATCTTAAGGTACTTAACCAGGCGCTCGAGCAACAGGTGCAGGACGACTTCGAGCGTGCTCCAGAATACTACAAATGGTTCGGAGGCGTTGTGTGCTTGCTTTGGTCTGATGACTTCCAAAGGAAGAATTCGTGAGAGACTCGTTGTCTAGGACGGACCTCGGCCAGCTATTGGAGTGCTTCAAACAGAAAGCTCACGGGCAGAAAATATCTTGGGCTCTATTACCTTTCCGGAAGCCGGCTGCGAGCTCTTCATTCCGTTGCGAGCTCTTCATTGTTGCTGCAGGTCGATGATAAGCACTGTAGCAAATGTAAATCGCGTGAAGATCCTTCCCGAGGAAAATACCGAGGAAAGTGGATTGTATGCGATGTTTGCCAACAGTGCTACAACTTTAGCTGTACCAGAGTTACTAAGAAGCAGGAGCTGGAAGTATTTTGGCAGTGTTCGTCCTGTAAGAGCATGAAAAGAGAAGAGCATTTGGAACCAAGGCGGCTGTTGCGATATTACGAAGGAGATCTGAAAGCTGCTCTACTGGAGGCCGGTGAGTTAGCGCTGACATCAGTTAACATTGGTTAACATTGGTTAACATAGTTGGCGAATGATGGCAGGTGCTGATGCTATCCAGTATGTTTGGAGGCCATTGATCAAGAATGATGGGGCTGTGGGCTACACTATTCTTCCTAGGACTCTGGCGCAACCAACTATAGCACCACGCCATCCAGTATCGGCAGAAGCTCTTAAAACACATATCAGTGCTCTTCGTGCATGGAACGATATCTATGGCGGGACTAGTAAGCCGGATGAGTTTGTACTCTGCTTCTTCCTGGCGGAGTCGAACTATGACGGGTTCAGAGCTACTGCGACAAGTCCCACTAAACAAGCTGTGAAAGGTTCGTTATATATCCGTTTCATAGCTGCTCATACTTATGGAATGAACAATGCAGGTATTCGCCAGTGCAAAGTGTTGCTGCGGTACGATGGTGAAGTGTGTAAACCTAATTATTTTGATCCTGTGGAAGACGTCCTGGGTGAGTGTGAACAAGAAGGGGAAGTTTGCTTTCTGAATCCGTCTTGGAAAGTTTTTGTGTCTGTACTATCGCAAACTTTAATGCCAAAGCAGAAAAGCATAGGGTGCTATTGCTCCAGATAGTCAGAAAGTCTCGATGGAGAAAGGCAGGCTGCCTTTTTCCTGTGACAAAAAAGAAAAGCCAGCGTTGTTATGGAGCATTCCTGCTAGCAATTTCCAGGAATTTTTTTATTTTTTTCTTTTTTTTTTCCCATGAGATAGCTGAAAATTGAACAGAAAGCTTGCTCCGTAGCAGCACTTCACCTCAAGTTCTAAACACGAACAATTTCTCCTCCTCTCGAGCGCCAAATTGTGAGCTTCACAGACTCGTAGTAAAAAAACAGTCGTTCATGAACTGTATCAGATATCATCTTCTTACAAGGATCATATTTTTAATTAAGAATTAAATTTTATTGTATTTATAGTTATAATAAAATATTATACTTATAATTATATCATTTAAAATTTTAAAATAAAAAATTAGTATATTTTTATTTCAAGAGTAATTTTGACAACGTTTTTATTTTAAAATGAGTTATTGGCATGTTTTCATGTTTTTCTTACCAGTTCTAATGAATATTGAAACCCTGAGAACTGAAACCAATATTTGCGAGATTGAGTAATGAAATTATATACAAAGTGGTTCACACTAACTTATGGAGCATATTCTATGTTTCTACACGTTAAAGGTTAAAAAAAATGACTCTATTGCGTTGTTTATGTTTGTTCATATATTGCACCCTTACAAAAGACTGCTTCACCTTGATGCTTTAAGAATCTCATCACTAGCTTTTGATGATGCATAAACATTCTTGGCTTGGCAACCCAGTAGCTGCTCCAATTAGCCATCCAGCAGATGCCCTTTAACACTAAGACCTCCTCTCTGCATGTTTGTTTAAATCAGCATTAAAATGTGTACAAAAGTGGTAGCAATGTTCTTATGCTTTCAAGAAGATAAACCGGAGCCTTACCGGGACCACTACCAAAAGGCTGTAATAGGCTTGAATTGCCAAGAAGAGGAGAATTTTATTAGCACATGGGATTGCAAGACTAAGAGAGTTATAACCAAGTTTGTGAGCTATACATGCAGATGCAAAGCTTCTTGAAGAGGAGCCATGTTTATCAAAACAAGGTCCAATTTCTTGCGTATTTTGTGATTGCTACGAAGCCATGTAATTATCTGGTCAAAATTTTAATTCCATAATGCAAGTTTTCATTTTTTTTCTTTTTCTCACTTTTAAGGAGTTTAATCCCTTTGCCATTCCTTAATCACGGGTTCGTACGCCTCCGCCACGTCTACCGTACACGACTTGATCCACACGTTGCAAATCGGGCACTTTTTCTGGATCGTCGCCATTTGCACCGCGCACTCCTCACACATGAGATGGTGGCACGGCACCAGTGCTTTCGTTCTCGGCCCCTCCCCACAGACACTACACTTGGGATCCATCAACGTACTTATCCTGTAGCTGGCATACGGCTTTGGTACCGTACAGCGTACGACGAGCTGCCACCCTTCCGCCATAGCCGTGACCTTGGCCCCGAGCACGTACTTGATGGGAGGGAAGCCGTCTCTCACCGCTTCCAGCACGAGCCTTCCTTTGAAATTGCCCAAATCCCCACGGATCGTCGTGAGGATGAGATCCACTGGGGAGCCCAAGTCGAAAAGCCAGCTCCTGCCCATGCCCAAGACCGTGACCTTGGGATACTGGGGTGACGAGATTTGGAAAGAGTTGGCCGAAAGATTGTTGATGTCTTGTTGTTGTTGCTGCTGCCAGACGTTTGCTGCTAAAGGGAAGTTGTTTGAGGCGCTATTGAAGAAGAGGCGGGGGCTGTTGTGAGGAACTGGATTGCCGCTATTGTAGCCCAAGGAAGCCAAGGTCGCCTTAACTTCTTCAAAGAGAGCTGGTGGGAGGCCCGGAGGACACACTGTGTTCGTAGCACCGTTGCACCGAGAAAACGCCATTGAAAATGAGTGAATACCTAGAAAGCTCTCGCCCCTGTTTTTATAATGCTGCGTACCTTTTCCCTAATCTTTGACTTAAATCAAAATTAGTGTTTATTTACATTTTCCTTTAATGTTGTGATTAACTCAACTAGTCTCCTAGATTTTGCTATCATTTCTTCGCTAACACTGGGGTTTTATGCCCACCAGGTTGATGATTTGTTTGTTTACGTTTTCTTTGTTCAATCATTCTATCTCAGGTACCATCAGCTTGATGCTCGAATCATGGCAATGGCTGCTGAGCGTAACTTCATCCAGGAAATCGATAGCATCGCTTGAAAAAATGTATAAATATTGGTTCTAGAACCTCCCCGCAGCCGCATAGATAGTCAAGCTCCATATTCTTCCACTTCACACACGCCGCCAGCACCGCCATCGTCTTGAAGAGCTCTCTGCCTCGTTCGACCAGTCCGGCGTGGCCGGTTGTGGAAGTTTAGTCGACGCCAACGGAGTCTTGATCCAGCCTACTTTGATGTCCTAGAACACGATGATTCTAGCTTATGCCGTGAATGGTGAAGGCGGGCTGGATTTGGAGTTATTTGTGGAGGCTTCATGCCGAATCGAGTTACTTTCCTTGCGACTGTAAAAGCTTGTGCGGCTTGTACAGCGGATACAACGGACAGTCTAAGGAAATCGGTGGAAAGATGGTGAAACTTACGTGCTTGGAGCTTCACTCGGAGGCAATGAAGTACGGTTGCATGTAGGATCACTTCCTGGCGAACAGTTTGATCTTCGTCTACTCGGAGTGTGGAAGCTTGACGGATTCTCAGGCTATGTGAGAACGAGGTGAAGCTGCTCTTGAGCTGTTTGGAGAATGCAAGAACAAGGGTGGACTACAAATCACGTGACTTATCTTGCAGCACTAAAGGCCTGTTTAAGCGTGGTAGCAAAGGTGGTCGGCGAACAGGTGGAAGGGAATCAAGGCTGTTGTTTCGAGAGAGTGAAAGCTATACACTCTCTAGCTGCAAATGCTGGTTTTCGTGGCGAGCAGCCTGGTGGACGCCTACGCAAAGTGTGGGAACATCGAGTATGGTCGTCAAGCTTTCGACAGGATCAAGGGTCGCAACTTGGTGCTGTGGATTCTCGGCTATGCCGAGAACGGGGACGGAGAATCAGCTCTCGAGCTCTTCGGCCGCATGCAAACAAGGGACAGGATTCTACCAGACGCTCGAAGCTACGTTGCGGTTCTCAAGGACTGTGCTAGTGCTCCAATAAGAAACGAGGCTCGCAAGCCGGAGTTCTTGCTTAAAGGCAGAGACATCCACTCCAGAGCTGTGAACAGCGGGCTTGAGAGAACAGCGACAAAGGTGACGCAGTCTGGAGAGCAGCGGCCAGAGTTCCAGAGCAATGCTGCTCTCGCCGTTTTCCTGATAGCCCGTGATCATTGCCGTCCAGGAAACTGTGTCTCGCCTGTCGAAAACTTGGCGAGCTTCTTCCAGGCTGCCACACTTGACGTACATGTCCACCAGGCAGCTCGCGACGAACAAGGCTTGTGGAAGCCTCGCAGCTATGGCAACAGGCAGAGAAAAGATCCGCAGCGCTCGACTCGACACGGACCCTTTGGTGGATTTCTACGGCAAGTGCGGCAGCATGGTGGCAGCCGAGCGAGAGTTTGCCAGTCTCACTGACAGCAGGATACAGCCATCAAGGAAACACCGGCAAGGTGTTTGAATCGTTCGAGAAGCAAGCCGGATGCTGTGACTTTCCTCTCGGTTCTCACGGCTTGCAGCCATGCCGGACAGGTCGAACGAGGCAGAGAGCTCTTCAAGACAATTTGGATGGCGGTCCTGGCGGCGTGTGTGAAATGGAAGAATATGGAGTTTGACTATCTATGCGGCTGCGGGGAGGTTCTAGAACCAATATTTATACATTTTTTCAAGCGATGCTACCTGAGATAGAATGATTGAACAAAGAAGACGAAAACAAACAAATCATCAACCTGGTGTGCATAAAACCCCAGTGTTAGCGAAGAAATGATAGCAACATCTAGGAGACTAGTTGCGAAGAAATCGAGTTAATCACAACATTAAAGGAAAATGTAAATAAACACTAATTTTGATTTAAGTCAAAGATTAGGGAAAAGGTACGCAGCATTATAAAAACAGGGGCGAGAGCTTTCTAGGTATTCACTCATTTTCAATGGCGTTTTCTCGGTGCAACGGTGCTACGAACACAGTGTGTCCTCCGGGCCTCCCACCAGCTCTCTTTGAAGAAGTTAAGGCGACCTTGGCTTCCTTGGGCTACAATAGCGGCAATCCAGTTCCTCACAACAGCCCCCGCCTCTTCTTCAATAGCGCCTCAAACAACTTCCCTTTAGCAGCAAACGTCTGGCAGCAGCAACAACAACAAGACATCAACAATCTTTCGGCCAACTCTTTCCAAATCTCGTCACCCCAGTATCCCAAGGTCACGGTCTTGGGCATGGGCAGGAGCTGGCTTTTCGACTTGGGCTCCCCAGTGGATCTCATCCTCACGACGATCCGTGGGGATTTGGGCAATTTCAAAGGAAGGCTCGTGCTGGAAGCGGTGAGAGACGGCTTCCCTCCCATCAAGTACGTGCTCGGGGCCAAGGTCACGGCTATGGCGGAAGGGTGGCAGCTCGTCGTACGCTGTACGGTGCCAAAGCCGTATGCCAGCTACAGGATAAGTACGTTGATGGATCCCAAGTGTAGTGTCTGTGGGGAGGGGCCGAGAACGAAAGCGCTGCTGCCGTGCCACCATCTCATGTGTGAGGAGTGCGCAGTGCAAATGGCGACGATCCAGAAAAAGTGCCCGATTTGCAACGTGTGGATCAAGTCGTGTACGGTAGACGTGGCGGAGGCGTACGAACCCGTGATTAAGGAATGGCAAAGGGATTAAACTCCTTAAAAGTGAGAAAAAGACAAAAATGAAAACTTGCATTATGGAATTAAAATTTTGACCAGATAATTACATGGCTTCGTAGCAATCACAAAAAAACGCAAGAAATTGGACCTTGTTTTGATAAACACATGGCTCCTCTTCAAGAAGCTTTGCATCTGCATGTATATCTCACAAACTTGGTTATAACTCTCTTAGTCTTGCAATCCCATGTGCTAATAAAATTCTCCTCTTCTTGGCAATTCAAGCCTATTACAGGTAGTGGTCCAGGTAATAAGAACATTGCTACCACTTTTGTACACATTTTAATGCTGATTTAAACATGGATTGTAAACATGCAGAGAGGATGTCTTAGTGTTAAAGGGCACCTGCTGGATGGCTAATTGCAGCAGCTACCCAAGAATGCTTATGCATCATCAAAAGCTAGTGATGAGATTCTTAACAAGGCCTTTTTAAGGGTGCAATATATGAACAAACAAAAACAACGTTATGTGGTCATTTTTTTTAATCTTTAATGTGTAGAAACATAGAATATGCTCCGTAAGTTAGTGTGAACCACTTTGTATATAATTTCATTGCTCAATCTCGCAAATATTTATATGATGTAGGGTTTCAGTTCTAAGGGTTTCAATAGTCATTAGAATTGGTAAAAAAAAAAACATGAAAACATGCCAATGTATATACATTTTATTACTCATTTTAAAATAAAAACGTTGTCAAAATTACTCTTAAAATAAAAATATATTATTTTTATTTTAAAAAATAATACGCATTTAAATAATATAATTATAAGTATAATATTTTATTATAACTATTAATTAAAAATATGATCCTTATATCTGCATCCAGACTTTCTGACGATCTGGAGCAATTAGCAGCCTTTAATCTACAGTACCGTAACGACATCGGTCAGGCTAATCTTTTCTGCTTTGGCATTAGTACAGACACAAAAACTTTCGAAGACGGATTCAGAAGGCAAACTTCCGCTTCTTGTTCACACTCACCTCCTCGTATCGAAGGACGTCCTCCACAGGATCAAAATAATTAGGTTTACACACTTCACCATCAAACTTGCACCCCTCGATGTCATTGACCATCTCGACACCCTTGGGAATCTCCATCTCCTCTGCACATGGAACGGGTGCAGTGTACCGCAGCAACACTTTGCACTGGCGAATACCTGCATTGTTCATTCCATAAGTATGAGCAGCTATGAAACGCATATATAACGAACCTTTCACAGCTTGTTTAGTTACCCTACGGGACTTGTCGCGGTAGCTCTGGAAGCCGAACCCGTCATAGTTCGACTCCGCCAGGAAGAAGCAGAGTACAAACTCATCCGGCTTACTAGTCCCGCCATAGATATCGTTCCATGCACGGAGAGCACCGATATGTGTTTTAAGAGCTTCTGTCGATACTGGATGGCGTGGTGCTACAGTTGGTTGCGCCAGCGTCCTAGGAAGAATAGTGTAGTCCACAGCCCCATCATTCTTGATCAATGGCCTCCAAACATACTGGATAGCATCTGCACCTGCCATCATTCGCAATTAGCCAAACAATGTTAAGTGATCTCAGCGCTAACTCACCGGCCTCCAGTAAAGCAGCTTTCAGATCTCCTTCGTAATATCGCAACAGCCGCCTTGGTTCCAAATGCTCTTCTCTTTTCATGCTCTTACAGGACGAACACTGCCAAAATACTTCCAGCTCCTGCTTCTTAGTAACTCTGGTACAGCTAAAGTGGTAGCACTGCTGGCAAACATCGCATGCAATCCACTTTCCTCGGTATTTTCCTCGGGAAGGATCTTCACGCGATTTACATTTGCTACAGTGCTTATCACCGACCTACAGCGACAAGACTTTGTAAATGTAAGAAACTAACAGTAACTCACCATAAGCACCACGGTATGCGTAGCTCCGTGCAATACATAAGCAATGGAAAGCTCCTCAAAAACAAAGCCTCGAAGCACCCCGTATTTAGGAATGTCCGACCAAGTCCGCATGAAGAACTCCAGGTCTATTGCTTTCATCCTCGTCAGAGCAAGAGTGAACTGGGCCTGGACTTTAACACTGCAAAAGTCAAGGTAGTACTCACGGAATGAAGAGCTCGCAGCCGGCTTCCGGAAATGTAACAGAGCCCGAGATATTTTCTGCCCTTGAGCTTTCTGTTTGAGGCACTCCAATAGCTGGCCGAGGTCCGTCCTAGACAACGAGTCTCTCACGAATTCTTCCGGGTTCAATCTCTGGAAGTCATCAGACCAAAGCAAGCGCACAACGCCTCCGAACCATTTGTAGTATTCTGGAGCAGCTCTGACACGCTCGAAGCCGTCCTGCACCTGTTGCTCGAACGCCTGGATAAGTACCTTAAGATCGAAAGCTAACCCCGTTGCTGTCTCACTTTGAGTCTCGACATGTTTCTGCAGCATTTTCTCTACTCGTTCTTTCACCGCGGGAACTTTAGCCAAATCTGCTGGGCCAGCAAGCATGATACTTGCTCCAAAGTCGTATTCCATGTTTGCCCACTTCTCAAGACTGCGAAGCGTTTTCTTCAGAGTTTCCAGCTCACTCGCAAGTTTCTCGTAGTGGATCCTCCACAAGTCCACCAACGCCGCGTACTCATCTTCCTCCCACGGGTACATGTACATGACAGTCTTCTTCCGATCGGGTTTGGCAGCTTTAACGTTTTCCTCGGCTGGCGAAGCCGCAAGTAATACAACGGGTCCGATAGCACCATCTGTGGGGACTTTCTGATTTATCAGATGCCACGACGCTTTGGCAAACGTGGCCGCGGTGAAGCTGTCGCGCTTTGCCACACGGACCGCAGTGCCTTTGAACTCCCATACGAAGCCAGCAGACTCGTAGAGAATGTGCAGCTCCAGCTTGACTTTGGAATCTCTCAACTCTATAGCGGTTCTGATGATGAAGTACCAAAGGAACGCTGACTTGCCCACACCCGAATTCCCGTTTATGTGGCAAATCCAGTCGTTGGCAGAAAACCCAGACTCTGAGCAGATCTGGCAAAATAAGGAGTCAAACATCCTCCTTACGTACAAGCTGGACAGTCTCTTGTCTGCCGAGACCGAGATGGGATTAAACATCTTGATAACCTTGCCCGCTGCAATGTCCTCCCGCTTCAAACTCCAGACATAGCTCCACCAAGACTGTAGCGATTCCAGCTCTGCGGCGAGCGCACACAAATCAGGCAACGAACATAGCCCAGCTACACTCCACTTACCGTCTGGCCCCAACTCAGCGCTCATCCTGTGCCAACTTCAAAGTTGATTTGACCTGTTGTTAGCTTTAGGGTTTGTTATAAGACGCATCTTTCTAGAATCTAGGGTTTAAAGAGACGATAGCGGAAGAAATCAAGCTAGGAATCGATCGATCGATCCACACAATGCGGTTGAGGTGAAGGCGTGGATCGTCTCGATCGCCCCCTCCATCGAACTGGAACAACCCTAGAATATTTCAGCTATGGATGCCGAGCTCCGGGAGCTGGAGCGCCTGTTCGAGGCGGCGCAGCAGGCCAAGCCGACCGCGCGGCTCTCAGAGCGCAGCGTTGTGGAGCTCGTCGTCAAGCTCCAGCAGCTGGGAATCCTCGATGCCGATCTCTTGCACACCGTCTCCGGCAAGGAGTACATCACTCAGGTATGGCTCCTCATCCAAGGATTCCTCCAATCCGGAAATATTTCGGCAGGATCGCTTGCGGCAGGAGATGGAGGCCGAGATCAATCGCCTGGGCCGTGTCTCGCTCGTGGATTTGGCGTCCTTGGTCGGCGTCGATCTCTTCCATTGCGAGCGCCAGGCCGACCAGATCGTGAGCAGCTCGCCGGAGCTCATGCTCGTGCAAGGCGAGGTGGTCTCGACCAAGTACTGGGATAATCTGGCGGAGGAGGTGAACGAGACTTTGCAAGAGGCCAGCCAAGTCTCTCTCGGAGAGCTTGCAAGACGGTATGGTGTTGGAGCGGAGCTCTTGACTGGGATGCTCTCGTCCCGGATAGGTACCATTGTAAGAAGCGTGTTCTTGGATTTTTGGTAGATCATCTAAGGCTGGAACTTTTTTCTTTTCTTTTTTCTCGATAGATTCACGCGAAGTTGGAAGGAGGCCAACTCTATACTCCAGCATACGTTGCTCGAGTGAAAGCCACGGTTCGCGGAGCTTTGAGAGCCATCACAGTGCCTACGTCCTTGCAAAGTGTGTGGAACCTTTTGCAAGGTTTGCTTCGAGATAGAGACGATGGTGGTAATGTCACTGGAGAGCACAGCTTGTTTCATATGGTGTTGAACGAGCTTGTCGCGGAGGAAGCGGTGAAAGGTACTCTTCGTGGATCAGTCTGGACACCAGCGGTAAGAACACTCTTTTCTCTTTTCAGAGATTAACTATTCTATGGTGTCAGGTGTTCGCTCACTCGCAACGTGAAAGTGTTGAAGCATTCTATTCTCAGGTGCTCTGCTTGGTTTGTCTCTCTTTATACAAGCTTATTCATGTTTGAGTTTCAGAACTCCTACATTACTTATGATGCTCTTCAGAAGCTTAACATCTCTCAGCCCAGGCAATACTTGCAGGTAAGTTATCTCACATGTCCTTTCGCTTATTAATTTTGCTTCAGACTAAATATCCAGAAGGCATCGCTTTGGACAATGTATTTGTTCACAATTCCTTCATAAGTTTGCTGGATTCAGCTGCGGAAGAGTCAGTCAAAGGGGGAGGATGGTAATTCGAATTCGGCTAGGCTATGTACAAATGAAATGGTTCTTTCAGGTTGGATGCCCTTGACGTCCTTCCATCAACTTTTGGATGCTCAGATTCTGGAAAGCTGCTACTTTTGTGCCCATTCGTACAACGAGCGTTGAAGGTACATTATGACTGGGAGCCTTATTTGGAGTTTACATTGTATATGTCGATTTACAGGATTCAACAGCGACCCTTGTGGCCGAAACATGCATCGTCGGTACAGGCTTTGTAAAGGTCTCTAGTTAAGTGGCTGCCATCATTTTCTAACTCGATGAATTTGGACAGGCACTGCTGGAAAAGTTTCAAAATATGTTACGAGAGATTCAAGACAAAACATTTTCGACGCTTGAAGTGAAACTCGAAGCGGAACCTGAGCCTGAGCTGGACGAGAATGAAACAAAGCCGTTTGCTTCAAGATCGAAGAAGAACGACAAGAAGCAAAAGGATAATAGTATCCGAAAAGAAGAAGAAAACGAAGAAAAGTCGGGGAAAAGTAAGAAGAAGACAGCAAGACACAAGTCAAGCAAGACACCATCTGTTAAAGAAGCAGTGCCTTCAAAGGCGAGAAAGGGCTCTCCTGCGGACGAGATGGATCTTTTGGCTGAAGAGAAGCTATCAAAGAAAATCATCGAATGGTATCCAGACCTTGAGGCTGATGGAACAGGTATCGTCCATCTGTAAATCCACTTCTAACTCTGACCGAGCAACATTGTGTGCAGAGGATGGCGATACAGGTGTTCTTGCAAAATGTTTGGCTGATCAACTGCGACCACAGTTGATCTCATACATGACGTCCCTCAAGCGTGCTTATCTTGGAGCGAACACAGAGGAGAGGAGAAAACGGATAGATGCACTGCAGCGCAAAATTGATGAGGTTGTATTTCTGTATGTTTTGGAAATTTCTGATATATCTGCAACAGGATTATGCTAATCTGCAGCTGTTCTCAAAGGCAATAGAGCTGTTTGAAGATGACAAGGGAATGGAAGTCGGTATTGCTGAGCTCTTTTATTACAGGCTAACAATAGATATTTGCAGGCTGTCTTGCACAAGCATCTGTTGCGTTCAACTGCTTCCGAAATAGCGGATGTTTTCCTAGAAACACAGGTTTTACCGAAATTCAATTGAGCACTTATGATTCTTATTGTATCCATTTGCAGGCTTTGGAACATAGGATAGAAAATGCCGAAAGTGCTGGAGCTCAACCTTGCAAGCCATTTTCGATGGCAGTGAGGATGTCCCTGGTATGATAGTCCCTGTGGTGACACTGACTCATCTTATCTTATCAGGCCAAAAATCTACCTGAACCTCTCTCCTCTGCAGCAACTGAGATGGTGGCGTCTCTGGAAGGAAAGGTGTGCTTTAATATCTACCATATCCATATCCGCTGTCACTAACACGAGAGAAATCTTCCTAGAACATTGGAGCATTTGATTCTGCTCTTGAAGCGAGCGTCACGGAAAGGTACGCAAACTGGGCGAATTATAAATGCTAAATGCCTCCAGTTGGGTGTTCTTGTAGTGGGCTACGTGTGAGAAAGCTTGACAAGAAGGGAGAACGATCATTGTTCTTTGCATATCGAAAGGTTAGCGATATGGTTGTAGCAAAATTGGCAACGACAAGTCCTTTTTATCCAGAGCCTCTCAGAACAAGTGAACCAAGAACAAGATCCCATCGCTCTCCTGCCAAAAGTGGTCGCTTTGCTATACGTCCAGGTGAATATTCCCCACTTTCTCCAGTCTTACAAATTCTAGTACTTACTTTGAAAGGTCCACGGCCGCGCCCTCCAAGCTCCCGGTCGAGCAATGTCGTCGGCGGTGTCTCGACTAAAGGTACGGCCTTTGATTAAAGACTGTTTCTTCGCGGCTACATAACTCGCCGTGACTGTAGAGCGCAATCCCTGACAAGGCATTTAGTACACTGGATCAGTATCTTTCGGAAACAGTCTCGTTGCTATCCAGCAGCGCCACTGATGTACGCTATAATCTTCCAGCTGGTCCACTTTCTCACACCGCTGTACCTGCAGGATTCCAAAAAGGCTCGTCTCGCGGAGCGCATGGATGAGCTGAGAGCATTAACTCGCACCACCAAAGACACCAAAGATAAGATATAAATGGCGACGCTACAAAGCCTGATTTACGAGTTTTCCTTCGATCTTAAAGAAGGTAAGCTCGTTTGTTACCTGTGAGGACAAAGTAGTAGCTGTGTGATTGATTGATTTGTGGCTCTTTTAGCGCAGGCTCACAGAGAGAAGAGGAAGGAATCTATGTCCAGTTTTTTTATCGCGTCTCCCAGAAAAACGAGCGATCAAATGCGATCGACCGCGCTCTCGTTTTTTTCCTCCGAGCCAAGCAAGCGCCAGACCAGGAAGCTCCTCTTTGACGAATTTAATTCTCACTTGCGAGCTGGGCTGGGAAAAAAAGAAGAAAACATCCTTGTCTCCAACCGCATTAAATGTACCAGCAAATGAGAGATTCCGGGATTGTTTGAATCCTGACCGTCGATCTTGTGAACTCTTCTGGAACGGAATGTCGCGGCTGCCGTAAATTCCGGCGCGAAATCTCAAATCCCGCCGTTAACATTCCATTCCAACTCTCAGAGATATAAATTTGGAATGGGGGGAAGCGTAGAGCAGTGGCAGCGAGGGCGATAGCGGTAACGATCGTTCCAAAATCTCGATCGCAGTCCAGGGTTGGAGTCTGATTGGAGAGCTCATGATCATGGGGCTTGTGGATCTGGTCACAGGGAGGAGGGGTCCGAGCGGCTTTGGATCCTCCTCCACTGCCGAGGATGTCACCAACGGAATCGACGCCAGCAATCTCACTATCCTCATCACGGGTAATGGTTTCTCGTCTGGCCAGGATGGAAATTTCCACATCCGTTGCTCCATTGCGTGCTTCTCCAGGTGGCGCTAGCGGCATTGGGGCCGAGGCATCTCGTGTTCTTGCGATGCGCGGCGCCAGGGTTGTGATCGCCGCCAGGAATCTCACCGCGGCGAGCGAGGTGAAGAATGCGATCTTGGCGGAATATCCCAAGGCCAGAATAGAATGTTTGAAGATCGATCTCAGCTCTTTGTCGTCGGTGAGGAGCTTTGCGGCGGAGTTCTTGGCCACGAAGCTGCCGCTCAACATTCTCATGTAAGTTCCTTTGTTTCGAAAATTCCTTCTTTGTTTCTTTAATATGCTTGTTCTTTTCCTCCTCCTAGAAACAATGCGGGAATTATGATGATTCCTTACGAGCTCTCTCCCGACGGCATTGAAATGCAATTCGCTACAAACCATCTGGGTATGCGCCATGGAATTTTTCGGGAGTCTTGACTCTTTTCTTTTCATTTGTTTGTGATGTCTAGGCCATTTTCTTCTCACAAACTTGCTCCTGGACAAAATGAAGGAGACCGCCAAGGAAAGTGGCATCCAGGGAAGAATTGTCAATCTCTCGTCCATCGCGCACATCGCCTCTTACAGCGGTGGAATCCAGTTCTCACACCTTAATGACAAAGCCTGGTACACCAAACGACTCTCTTTTCTCGTGAGCTTACATTCTTCCTTTATTCTTCCAAAAGGTACTCCGACACTAGAGCATACAGTCAATCCAAGCTCGCGAACATCCTCCACGCCAAAGAACTGGCAATGAGATTCAAGGTATTCGTCTAATGCTTTGAAATCTCTCCCACCTTTCTCTTTTGCTGATTAGGCCGAAGGAGTTGACATCACAGCCAATGCTGTTCATCCAGGGTTTATAATGACGCCTTTGATGCGGCACACATTCTACATAATGAGTTTGTCTCTTTAACTCGTCATTGTTTTCGGTTACTTATGGAACTCTGATCTTTTTGCAGGGGTTCTCAAGTTCTTCTCCAGCTTCCTTTGGAAAAATGTGCCGCAGGTAAGAAGAATTCTCCCAATTATCTGGAAGTCTTTTGTGACTAATACGTGATCGATCTCTCAGGGCGCTGCTACGACGTGCTACGCGGCTCTACATCCAAGCCTCAAGGACGTCACCGGACAATACTTCGTGGATTCCAACAAATCGAACTGTAGCGCTTATGGCAGAGATCCCGAGCTCGCTCACAAGCTATGGACCTTCTCCCAGGAGCTTATAGACAAGCATTCTCCTTCCTAAAGGCAAAAGGCTGATGGTGCTAGAGAGCGAGCGAGCGAGCAAACGAGGACAACTCGACAGTGGTTTGTGGATAGACTGTATTTACTCTTCTCGAAAGCTCGAGCTCGAGCTTGATCAAAAGTAAGACGCGTTGCCTACATTGCGCATGACTAAAACTTTGGTTTCGAGCATGTCGTCCATCGCGTACTTGACACCCTCTCGTTGGATTCCAGAGTCTTTGATCCCACCGTATGGCTGGCTATCAACGCGCATGCTTGGCGAATCGTTGAGGCAAACTCCTCCAGCCTGTGAGGTGATCAAATAATCATCAAACAATCGATCAATACTTTCTATATCTCAAACGCAAAGCTACCTCTATGTGCTCAAATGCATAGAAGGCCTTGTTTAGATCACGCGTAAAGACGCCGGCTTGGAGACCGTAATGCGTGTTGTTAGCTTCCTTCACGGCTTCCTTGAAATCACTGCGTCACCACCGTTTTAGTTTAGAGAAAGAAAAAAGGAAGTAAAGAAGAACGTCGCAACTTTGAGAGCTTACTTGTATGAGTAGAGAAGGATCACGGGACCGAAAATCTCTTCCTTTTTTGCGTCCGTGTCAAAGGGAGCGTCTTCCAGGATCGTTGGCTCCATGAAAGCTCCCCTTCGCTTACCACCAACCAGAAGTTTGGCGCCTGCCTTCACTGCCTCGTTCACGCTCTTCTCCACAGTAGCTGCCGACGACTCGGATATCATGGGCCCGATGGACGTGTCGTCTTGGCGAGGATCTCCACCTTTGAGTTTCTTAACCGCAGCGATCAATGCGTCCTTCACCTACACAACCAGCACCAGATACGTTAGATCAAAGCTCGATTTGAGAACAAAGAATACGATAGAATTTAAAGACGAGTGTCGGATACCTCCTTGTAAAGGCCACCTCTCACGTAAAGGCGCTGCATGTGAATGCACGACTGGCCGCTTTGATAGAATCCCCCATGGACCAACCTAGCGATTGTGCCTTCCAGGTCTGGAACGAGATCTTCCACTATGCATGGAGCATTGCCTCCCAGCTCCATAACCACCTGTAAGAGGAATCAAAGAAGTTGAAGAAAGCGAAGCTCCATCTGAAGGAAGAAAGCGAAGGAAAAAAAGAAAAGAAAAGAGCCGACGAACCTTCTTCTTTCCGGCTCGAGCTTTCATATTCCAGCCAGCCATGCCAGAGCCTGTAAATGTGAGAAGCTTGAAGCGATCGTCGGTTGTGAAAGCATCAGCTTCGTTGCGAGTGGTAGGGAGGATGGAAAAGGCACCCTTGGGAAGACTGTCGCACGATGCTAGAATCTCTCCCAGGAAAAGCGCCGAGAGTGGAGTCCGACTGCTCGGCTTTAGGACAAACGGACACCCCACAGCAATGGCCGGTGCCACCTTGTGTGCAACTAGGTTGAGCGGGAAGTTCCACGGGCTTACCATCGAAACTGGCCCAATAGGGAACTTCTTTACAATACCCTGCACCAAGCGTTCTTCTTATAACTTGCTAATAGTTGACCAAAAAAAAAGAGTAGCTTACCTCTAGACCTTTGTTGCGTGCCGAGATATCCAGTGGAAGAACTTCCCCGTAAATTCGAGTAGCTTCCTCGGCAGCTACTTCAAAAGTGTCGATGGATCGCTGAACTTCACCCCTTGCATCCTTGATCGGTTTCCCGGACTCGGTGGTTATCAGTTGAGCAACCTCCTCGGACCTTTTTTCGAGCTCCAAAACAATCTGGCAAGCATCAAGAGTCAGTAAGTGAGAAGGAAACAAATGAAAGAATGGAAAGAATGTGGATGTTTTCTAATGTTTTCTACAAAGAAATTTGGAGCTACGAGAGATGAGAGCGATGCAAAAATCCATACCTTTCTAAGCACCGCCTTGCGCTCGTAGGAAGGTAATGCCGCCATCGCCGGCGCCGCTTTCACGCATTCCTGGATCGCCTCTTCGATGTCCTCGGGAGACGCCAGCGGCACCTTGGCGGCTGGAAAATCCCCATCGCAAATTTTTGAGCGAAATATTTCGATCGATCACATACATACCCGCTTGCCCGGTGTGCTTGTCGATCACATCCAGGTAATTCGCCGATTGATCCCTGGCGCAGCTCGCAACATACATGGGAAATTTCATCCTGGATCCTGCCGTGGATGCGAAATACCTCTCTCCGATCGAAGGAAACTCGACCTAGATAGCCAGCTGCTGGCTTAGATGGCAGCATTTCAAGCGCTCAACGTGTCCCACTCAAAGGCTCTCACTCTGATAAACCCTAGAAAAGAAGATACGAATATCCGTTCAAAGAATATGCTTTTACAAAACTTTTTCGTTGATACAAGCGCGCGAGGATAATGCTAAGCTTGTCCCAGCCATTTTGCGCGATAGCCAGTTCCTTTGCATTGATCGCAATCCACAACACCCTGGAAACTACCACTCGTTAGAACCGATCAAACGAGAAGAGGAAGAGATGATCGATCGATCGATCGCTCACCTTTCCAGCGCAAATGTAGCAGCTAGTGTTGTGGGACGAGATCTCGCACAGGACATTGTCGCCGAGGATGAAGAAGCCCGTCCCTTTGCACCACGGGCACTCTCTCTTGCCGCAAGCTTGGCACCGAGAACAAGCCACCGGCCTGGGTTGCTGGGATCAATCGATCAAACGCGATCGCATTCTTCGAAGAATCGCAAGAGGAAAGAATTGCGAAGAGAGGGAGAGATCTTACCTTGGAAATCAGCCATGTCTGCTCCATTCTCTTGATAAACCCGGGCATGTCCCCCTCCTCCTCTTTGGCGCTGTCCGATGGCCCCGCGATCACGCCCGAGCTTGCTACTACGCGAATCCTGGATGAAACCACTCGATGCCTCCAGATTCTACTGTGAATCCCCGGCGCTGGAACCGCATCGAAGCTACAGGAGCAGCCGCCACTGGGCGCCGGACCAGCGCCGACGATGATCGCTCTCGACGATTCCATTTACCCTAGATTCTGAGCGAATATCCTTACACTTGAACATGACTCTCGTGTTCATGGGGCCTAGGGTTCTTCCAGGTTTTCCATGGAAGATGGAGCTCGCATCGATTTGGCAGAGCCGCTGCTGGATGGGAACAAGCCCGGCGACCTCCAGCCGGGCGCATTGGATAGCTTGAATTACGAGTAGCGATTCTTTCTCTCCTCGTTTCCTTCAATGTTCTTGAGTGATCTCTTCTTTTTCTTGCAGAATCGTGGAGAATGATCTGTATCGGCAAGACTGGCGATTAACTTCGCGATTCGGCATACTCCATTACACAATCTGCAAGTGGATCCTGGTATTTCTGGTTGGATTTTGGACCGGCGTCGTGTCTCTCTTGATCAATGTGGCTGTGGAGAACATTGCTGGGACGAGATTTCTTGCGACAGTCGATTTGATGGCTTCTAACAGGTATGATTTCTTTCGTTTTCCGCAAGAACAGTATCAGTATCTAGAAAAAATAAATCTTAGAGATGTCTCTTAGAAGTGTTTTTTCGTTTGCTAGCGACTTGTGATTCTTTGAAATAACTGGTCCATTTTTTTCTTTTTTTGTTTTTCGGGCTCAGAATCGCTATGGCTTTCGCTGTCTATGCCGGAAGCAATATCGTGCTGGTTCTACTATCGGCTTTACTTTGCATTTACGTTGCTCCAGAAGCGGCAGGATCCGGAGTTCCGGAAGTCGAAGCTTATCTCAATGGTGTCGATTGCTCCTCGGCCTTGAGTTTCAACACATTTTTTGTCAAGGTTTGCGTTGTTTCTTCATTAAATCTTCATCGATGAAGGTGCTTTCGTGTTCGATCTTTTGAGTTTGATCTTCCAGGTGGTAGGAATTGTTGGTGCTCTTTCGAGCGGTCTTATGTGTGGTAAAGCTGGGCCTTTGGTTCATATGGCCGCTTGTATAGCGGTTTTCTTCGGGCAGCCTGGTTTTACACATCGTTTGCTGGGTTTTACGAAGCTAGATCTTCTTGACAACGATAAAAACCGTCAGGATCTCGTCGCTTGCGGAGCTGCCGCGGGGCTTGCTGCGGCTTTTCGAGCACCCATCGGTGGAGTTCTGTTTGCTTTGGAAGAAGCTGCCTCATGGTAAGAGTGAGGGATTTTCTTCTACGCATTATCTTTCTCTTGATCGTTAAGCTGCATTTCTGGCTTCGCAGGTGGAGAAGCGCGCTGCTATGGAGGACCTTCTTTACAACTGCAGTCGTCTCCTACGTCCTGAGAATCGGCATTCACTGGTGCCGCCATGGTCACTGTGGAAGCTACGGAAAGGGTGGCTTGATACTTTTCGACGTAGGAGACGCGCGAGTAAACTATGGTTTGCTCGAGCTAGTTCCAGTCGCAATTCTGGGTGTTATAGGCGGCACACTGGGAAGCTTGTACAACCATCTTCACGCGCATTTCTTCTTGTTCAACACAAAGTGGCAAAGCAGGTACTTTTTCAAGTTTTTTCTTCTCGCGCCTACTTATGCGTGTTTATTTGGCTGTAGAAAAGGAGTTTTTGCCAAGCTCTTTCATGCTGCGCTGGTAGCGTTTATCACTTCTATCTGCAGCTTTGGCCTTCCTTGGCTTGCCCCATGCCGGCAATGCCCCCCAAATAACGAAGAATGCCCGACTCACGGACGCGTTGGAAACTACAAAGCTTTCAACTGTCCTCCTGGTCACTACAACGATCTGGCCGGGCTTATATTCAACACCACCGAGGACGCGATACGAAACCTTTTCAGCCTTGGTACGCCCTTCGAGTACAACTATATCACGCTGCTGATCTTCACGGCTTCGTCCTATATGCTCGCCTTGATGACTTACGGGATCCTCGTTCCATCGGGGTTATTCGTTCCGGCAATTCTCTGTGGAGCAACTTATGGCCGGCTCGCTGGCATGGTGATGGTTTCGATATTTGGACACGACCGTCTGGACGAGAGCATGTACGCTATCATCGGTGCTGCTTCTTTCCTCGGTGGCTCCATGAGGATGACGGTCTCTCTCTGCGTCGTCATTCTGGAGCTCACGAACAACTTATCGATGCTTCCGCTGGTGATGTTTGTGCTGCTCATCTCCAAGGTGGTCGGGGACTGTTTCAACAATGGGATCTTCAAGCTCCACATCGACATCAAGGGGTTTGATTTTCTCAAGGAGGCTCCTCCTCCGTTTAGGTCCCAGCTTACAGCTCGTGATGCCATCCTGACGCCTCCAGTGACACTGTACCGCGAAGAGAAGATTGGGAGAATTCTTGACGTCCTCTCCGCCTGTTCCTACAACGCCTTTCCGGTGCTGGATCGTGAACCCGACGGCAAGGACAGGTTTTTCGGGATGGTTTTGCGAGCTCACATCCACGTCCTCCTGGAGATGAGATCCGCGAACTCGCCGAAGAAGATCGCAGTGAAAACCGTGAGAAAACACCCGGCTGCTCAACGATCTCTCTCGGGGAATTGTTTGGAGGTGGAGAGCCTGCTCGATCTAACTCCAGTCGTGAACCAGTCGCCTTACACGGTGTTAGAGACACTGTCACTGGCAAAGACGTACTCTCTCTTCCGGCAGCTTGCGTTGAGACATCTTTGTGTTCTTTCCAAGAACAAGGAGGTATGTATGTTTCTCTCTCTTTTTTCTCTCTTTTTTTATGCTCACTTCCTTCACAGGGATCTCCCGTGGTGGGAGTGTTAACGAGGCACGATTTTATGCAAAGCTCTCTCTGGAAGAAGCATCCACAACTGGGACGTTTATCTTCTTTCCGGATTTTGGAGTGATGATGAACGACGGAGCTGGATTTTGTTTAGTCCGACGGCTGCGATTCGCGATCAACTTACTCTCAGATCAAAACTAACCTCTGTTTAATACAAATAAGATCTTAGTCGACACTGATTTCTTCGACAGGGCCGCCGAGAATGCCACTCTTGCCTGCGCAAGATCGATCCTCCATGTCCGGGTGCCTGGAATCACTCTGGAGATTGTCTGCTTTCTCAGGTTTTGAAAGGTGGCAGAAAATTCAAGACTGCCATCCTTCAGAATGTCGATGACGTCTGTGCAGCAGCAGTTGGTCTCAGCATGCACGTCGTTTCCCGCGATCCGGCAAACACCGACTCGATCGTCTTGAGCTGCGTCAAGGAAGCTCAAACCAGCGCCACCTCTCGTACGTTTCCTCGAATGACAGAGTCAAAAACACTGTGTATATGCTGTTTTTGATAGTCTCGCGGTGCCCAACTGGAAGCATGAGAAGAAGATAGGATGGACCGGTGAGTGGGTTAGGCCACCAACGAGGACGCGAAAACGATAATCCAACTTACGCTTTTTCATCCATGGGAACACTCTCGCTGCATTCATCGCAATGACACCACCAGAGCAGCTCGCAGCCGCGAAGCATTTCGCCAAATCTTGCCGCTCCCCCTGCAATATATAGTGCGAGTATGGACAAGTGGAGAGACGTGTGGGATCAGGATATGGTGCAGTCGAGCCTGATGGCTCCAATCGTGCGGCTACGGACATGAATTCCCGAAATGAAAGTGGGGGACAGGGACAGGCTCAGAGCGGATGTACGAGTTTCAAAAGCATTCACAGGTGCAGAAACGTGCTGCATTTTTCAAAGAACAAGTTGAAGCTGTGGAGCCACAAAAAAGTTGGAAGTATTGGAATTGGAGCCACCCCTTCCGCCATCCAAGCAGGCCCTGGATTGATTGCATGGAGGGTCTGGCTCGTCCTTATTTCCCTCCTGCGGCTGAGCTGGACGAGGAATGGAACTCGGGGGACCGCCTCCATACTCTCTGCTTGGCGGGGAGGATTGGGACGAGTCGCCAGCAATCCCAGCGACGCACAGCTTTGAGGCGGCTAGCCTTTGACGACTTCCAAGAGACTGTCAACAAGAAGTGCATGGCTAGCAGCTTTGGCTTCTCCTCAAACAGGCGCGTCGCCCTCCTCCGTCAAGGACGCTTTGAAGAGTTTGGCCGAGCTCATGATGCGCGAGGAAGCTCCGACTCGTACCACTTCGTCGAGAAAGAGAAAGGACGCTACCACTACCGCTGCTGCTGCTGCTGCTACAAAAGATGGTGGTGGAGTCCAAGAGAAAGAAACCGAGCAATGACATCTTCACGCTGTGGGAGAACTTCAAGTACGGGAATCAGCCGGCTGCTACTCCACTTCTCTCAACTTCCAGAAGCTTCAAGAGGCCCTCGAGCTCCATATTCTCTGGGACAGAACAACAGTTCCACTTGCAGAGGAGGAAAGCGTGCAAAACGAACCATGATTTGCCCACTTGGAACAGAACTTTGGGAACCAGGTTCCCGGGATCTCTCTTCAAGCTCACTCGTCTCTTTACAGAGGTTGCCAGAAAACAAGCCACGCGGTAGAGAACTTAGACAAAACTTTGAGACGAGGTTCCAATTACCAGGTTCGACTTCGAACCTCCTGTGTTGTACAAGCCCGCTTTGTTTTACACAGGTCTCGCTAGCTAGACGTAAAGCCTCCTAACTTACCACTTTACCATTCGCTCGTCGGCCAGCTTCGCAAGTACTACGTAGCCTCCACTTCTCTCCCATTTTACAAGTGTTTGTCTCTCGCCGAATACCCACTCTATACTCGTAAACCTGCAAGAGAAGAAGATTGACAGAGAGAAAGAGAGCCAAAGGATCACAAACCTCTTTCTATTGCATAACAACAACTCCACCCGTTTTCTGCTGCTGCTGCTGTTGTTGCTGCTGCTGCTGTTGCTGCTGCTGCTGCTGCTGCTGCTGAATTTGTTGCTGCTGCTGCTGTTGAATTTGTTGTTGCTGCTGCTGCTGCTGAATCTGCTGCCGTAGCTGCAGCTGCATCTGCTGCTGTAACATACAGGCATGGTACATGTCCATTGTCATGTTTAGTGGCTGCCAAAGAAACAAGACAACACAGAAGTCCACGTTTTATAAGAGCAAACCTTTCAACTGTGAGTGGAGGAGCACGAGGTAAAAGAACGAGGAGAGAAATATGGGAACGGGCTTTGCTTGCTTACCATGGGGCCGCTGGTTAAGGGTCGCCCGGCGGAGTCCATTACTCCCATTCCCATCACTCCCATCCCCATACCCATTCCCATCCCCAGCGTTGGCATCTGCGGCATTTGCAAGTGCTGCATCCCCGCTGGGATTATCATTGGTGGTAAGCTCAAGCCGGTCCTCATAGCCATCATCTGGAAGAGACCAGGAACACAAAGAGAAAGCTTGTTACAATGAGACTTTGCTGGATCCAGGTGAAAGTACCTGGAGTTGGAGCTGGAGCATCTTGAGATACTCGATCGCTTCGTCCAGCATTGATGCCTTGTCCGTCTGGTAGAGAAAGTGGTGTCTCTCAGCGGGAGAAAGCTTTGAAAAGAGCTTACCTTGTTGGAGTTTGGTATAAGTTCTTGCAAAGCTTTCATCTTCTCGTTTATCCGGTCGCGCCTTCTCTGCGATCCAGGAGAAAAAAACGTTCATGATGCAAAAACGTTTGAGAACAACCGAGACGACGTACCCGCTCGGAAAGATTGTGCACCTCGGCTGCCCTGCTTCGCTTGGAACTCGTCCGCGCGGGCGGGGCCTTCTTTACATCAACCGATTCTCCTTCCACGTCCTAGATCCGACACAAAAGTTCAAGACACCACCAAAGAACAACCACTTACTTCGCTTTGGCAGTCCGCAGACTCGTCCACACTCTTCACCTTCCTCTTTCCTTTGGCATTGCTTCCCTTGGCTCCGTCCGCGCTGTGACCGGATCCACCCGAGGACGAAGTTAGCGTCTGCTCGTTCCCATCAGCAGCAGTCGCACTGGAGCTCGGCTGACAATTTCCCCTTGTCCCTGCCGCCTCTTTCCTCGACGTGCAACTTATCAGTGATGGCAAGCTCGACTGGCTCACGCTCTGCTGCGCCTCCGAGCTCTGTTCTTGAGCAACTGCGCTCCTCTGCGTGGGAGCCGAGCCAATCGATCCTTCGACAACACCGTTGGACGCAGCCGCCGGTGCCACTGCTACCGCAGCATCGTTCTTCTTAAACTGCATCTGCAAATGGTTCGTGATGCTCGTACTACACTTCCCGAGCGTGTGCAAACTCGCCTTCGCGATCACGGCCGGTCGAGAAAAGTGTGAGAAGTTGAGCGACGAGTTGACTTTGTGAGCCTTGGGTGGCAGCATGGCAAGATGACGAGGCTTTTTCGCCGGATCGGCCCACTGTGACGCCCCTGCCGGATGAATCCCAACACCATCTGTAGCTGAGTCCCTCGACCCTGTTCTAGCCATCGTCGGAGCTCCGCTAGAAGCCTGTTGTTGCGAATCACGGGGAGCCGCCTGGGTGGCGCATGAGGACTGATCATGCAAAGCCTGAGTGCTGAAGATGTCTGAGCAATTGTTCTTATCCAGATTGTCGTCCGGATACTGCAACCAGGAGATCAATTCATCATCTTCGTAAGCAGCAGCAGCAGCAGCAGCAGTAGTAGCAGCCACGGTCTCTGTCCCGACCGCGCTGATCACCACAGCATCCAAAGTTCCATCTTTTATCCTGTTGTCGCTGGATGGCTTGCTACTCGAGGGTGCCAATCGATCCTCATTGCTGTGCCTGTTGTTACCCCAGAATCCTGAAGAGACCCACTGCGAATTCTTGTTTCCGCCGACTTGCATCACGCCCAAGCTCCCATCGCTCGTCCATATCAACTCGGAGAAATCGTTCTCGCAGCTGCCATGATAGTGGAGAGTGTAAGCATTGTCAAGAACAACACCAAAAAAATAAAATAAAATCTGGAAAGAGCACTCACAACTTTGGATTGTTCTTTGCTGCTGGCGATTCCTGAGATTTTTCTGTTGGAAATTCATCGCATTCGGGAACACAATGATTCATGCCTGCAATCGACCGAAATTTCCAGTGAATGCAGGTGTGGGATCGATGATACCTTGCGAGGCAGCTCTGGTAGACCCAAAATCGAATCCGACGATCACTCTCCTGGATCCGCTGGAAGCCTCGCGCCTCCAGCCGTCAAGCCGCAAAAAACAGAAAAACCCTAGCCCCCTGACTGCGAGCTTCCTGCTCTAAGCTCCATGAATCGAGCACTCCTAGAACCATCGATCGTGGCGATGGATACAAGATCTCCGGCGAGGGATCGTCAGGATCAGATCGCCCCAAGAAGCGCAAGAGAGCAATTTCTCAAGTCGATTCTAGCCTCTACTCCTAGAACAGCCAAGCAATCAGCGACATCTTTCGTGATAGATCCGACGGCCAGGATGGAGCATTGCCCGCCAAGTGCGCAGATCTTTCCCGGAATGATGCTCGCAGCGGAATGGCGACTCGATGGCGCAACCTAGACCGTTTGATGTTTACCTTTTATCTCATGAGATTCCCGCTCAAATTTAAGTTCTAGGGCTTTGTGGGTGAATAATATTTCACGAGCGGATCGATCGAGCGAGGCGCGGCGCCAGGTTCATCCTAGATTTCTTCCACCTGGAGTGGATCTACGCTTCCTTGACGCTGGCCCCGGGATGGAAGCCATGGCGGGCAAGCATCGCCAAGGAGCGCGCGTCATTAGACGATCGATCGAGATCATTGTTTTTTCATCCTCTCCAGGTGGGCCAATCTTTGCTAGGCCAATCTCCACAGTAATCGCGTGGATTGGATTGATCACTTTCATAGTTTGTCTGGGAAATTGATTGAGCTGATTGTTCTTCCCCTCTTCCTCGATTGATTAGTCTTTTTCCCGTTTATTTTTCACTGTCAGGTCCTCCACATGCTAAGCAGGGGCCCATACCTCTGGCCATGAAATATTGGCTGCCACTATGAAGATTTGGTTCATTGTCGGTATAAGGTAATGCCAAGCCAGTGATAAGCCTTACGTTTGCAAGTAAGCCTCCAAAGGCCTAGTCGCTGTCAGGTGGGATAATTTTTGCTTTTGCTGCCACACTTTGATTGACAAGAAAACGATATTTGTTGTGCAGCAAACTCAGAACTGGGTTGTCGAGCTTGGCTTGGTGTGCGAGACTAAAAAATTTTGGTGGCAAGTGTGGAGCGAGTCTTCAACACTCCCGGGTTTTATATCGTAAACGTGCTCCGGAAATTGGTAACTTTGGCCCGAACGTCGTTAATTCTCGTTTTCTTATAGGCCATCAACAGGAGACTTTTCAAAGGGCATCTTAGTTGGACCTTGGCTGCTATCAATCACCCCAATTTGGATGCTTGCACAGGCCTATTGCTACGCTTGGCAACGAGTGCTCATTTTGTCAACGAGCGCCGTGGGTGATTTGCAATGTTCCGTCCGCTCGGAAAAAAGCAAGGACAGTGTTTTTCCGGGAGCGCTTCCGAAGTAATTATCCCCTTCTAGTACTGCATCCCTTTCTACTTGGGCTCCACCGGGAAAATCCTGCTTGCAGGTTCGAAAGTGTCGCTTTTTCTCTAACTTCGCTCCTGTTGCAGAAGATTCAAGCTGCAAGATGCTCTTACCACATATCGTGCTCACGACATTCAAGAGCTCAGGGACAAAGTGCGCAGCAGCGAGCACGAGGGGCATTGTACTGGGACTGCTCCTCGGCCACCCGTTCCTAAAATTCGTCAAAAGTGAGTGATGCCAAACTTCATTGGCTGTCATGCCTCGACGTTTCTCACTCGGGGGGCTTTCAGTTGGAACGACGAGAGAAATCCGGTGCGAAGATTGCTCCCGCGTACGCTCCACTTGCTCTGAGGCGTAACAATCCAATTCGTCGCTTAAAATCGTTTTAAGGTGATACCATTGCTATATTTTGATTTTTGTTTGTTTTCCAGGCACCATTTTAGGGTTTTGGGAATTATGGCGTTGGCTCCCACTATCGCTCGAGCTTACAACTTTGGATCTTCCTGGGAAGAGGTAAGCCCTTCTGCCACTGCCCCTGATTCGGAATTTTTCCAAACAGAATGCGCCCTTGAGCGACGAGCAACATGCCGCCATAACTGCATTGGCTCAAGTCGCATCAGATCGGCCCTTGCCTTCGCATCTTACCGGATCATCTGGAAAGGAGGTGAAGTTTAGCTGAACTACCTTTTCTTTACTCGCTTAAACTCGATGCCAGGATGCTCCTCACATCGACGAGCAACTGGGTCATGCAGCGGCAGATTTCTACAAGTGGTACTCGGATCTAGAGTCTGCTATGAAATCTGAGGTAAATTTTGCTTGTATGCATTGTTCGCTTTCCAAACGATGCTTGTTTAGACTGAAGAAAAGTACCGCCAATATGTGAACACTCTCACCGGCCATCTGAACACTTGTGATGGTATTCTTGAGCAGGTAAATTGTTTTCCATTTTTTCATGGGAGGTTCATAGGTGGAAATGTGTGAGCAGCTGGATGACACCTTGCTTCTTTTCGACGACTTGCAAATGCAACATCAAGCTGTGGCCACCAAAACAAAAACTCTTCATGATTCTTGTGATCGGCTGGTTTTGGAGAAAGATAGGCTTGCTGAATTCGCAAATACACTTAAAAGCAAACTCGTCTACTTTGACGAACTGGAAACCGTACGTTTAAGCTCTTTCTATCTCTCTCCCTCTCTCTTTTCTTGCCTCTTTTCTCTGATCTGTTCAATTTTCAGATTGCTACACAGTTCTATTCAGCAGCCATGAGCGTAGATAATGAGCAGTTCCCTTCGCTACTCAAACGTCTGGACGACTGCATAATTTTCATAAGCAGCAATCCGCAATATGCCGACTCTGGTGTCTATCTGCTAAAATTTAAGCAGCTACAGGTGAGCCGTTTCTTTGAAATATGCGGAGATCAGCCGTAATAGTTTTTCAGTCAAGGGCAATAGGAATGATGCGCTCTCACGTCCAATCTGTGATGAAGAAAACAACAGCGCAGGTATTTGTGTTTGTATATTTTTGAGGTTCTTACCGACGAACAGGTGCATGCTGCCCTCAAAGAGGGGACTGCTTTATCCGAAGGAATCGAGACCTCTGTTCTATATGTACGCTTTAAGGCAGCAGCAAGTGAGGTGATTTTTTTCCTTCGTTCCAGCTAGGTGTTCTTCATTGTCCTTAACAGATGAAGCCTCTCATGGAAGCGCTTGAAAGCAGAACGAAACTAACGGAGTATGCGTTATTCCTTTCGGACTGTCAAACACTTTACTGTGAACAGCGCTTGCTCTTGGTTCGATCAGTGTTTGGTCGACTTGAAACACTTTATGCTGGCATTTTTGTCACAGGTGCAAGGCGTTGTACAACAACGGATTTCGGAATACGCTAAAAGAGAAGAATTACCACCTTTCACTAGATCGGGTTGCGCATACCTCATGCAGGTCTGCGTTTTGCATATTGAACGACCTGACTTGGTTTGTGCTCCAGGCTTGCCAGTTCGAGCATCAGCTCTTTGTTCACTTCTTTCCATCCTCGTCATCCGAAGCTTCAAAACTTGCTTCTCTTACTGAGCCTTTGTAAGTTCTCTATTTCTAGCTGTTGTTGGGGAAAACATTCCGATGTTTATTGGTAGATGCACCGTCCTATATGATGCATTGCGGCCTAAGTTCATACACGAGACAAGAATAGATCTCCTCTGCGAGCTAGTTGATATCTTGAAGTTTGAAGTTCTTGAGGAGCAACTTAACCGAAAGGGAGATCCTGTTGCCGGCCTCAGACCAACAATAATGCGAATCCTAGCTGATGTTCAAGAAAGGCTTACATTTAGAGTGCAAACCTACGTGCGAAACGAGGTAGGCCTTGAACTGCCGGTGAAGATGTCCCCGTGCTGATAACTTTTTATCACGTAGGTTGCGAACTACTTGCCACTGGCAGAAGACCTCGACTATCCTGCAAAACTAATGAAACAAAGTGAATCCAGCGCTTCAGAGGTTTTTAAGTTTTTTTTTATACTTTCATCTTATTCTCTGACGACAGGAAGGAGCCATATCGGAAGGAATGGACGGTCTTTACCCTCCTCTGGTGAAGACCTTAGCGTGCCTTTCAAAACTTTACCGGTGTCTTGAACCTACAATATTTACTGGGCTCGCGCAGGTAATGCTTTTCTCATTCGTGTGAGAAAATGGCAACTCAATTATCTACAGGAAGCTGTGGGAACCTGTACAGCGGCAATTCAGGCATGAATGCTACTTGATCTTAAAAAACTCATGCACTTGCTATCTCTTTCAGCGTGGCAGCAAACTCGTTGTCAAGAAGTCGTCTGAAATGGATGGTCAGCTTTTCTTGATCAAACATTTGTTAGTACTGAGAGAGCAGGTGCGTTAGATCCTTAAGTTTTGCATGACTGATCATCTTGGTTACAGATCACTCCATTCGATATTGATTTTGCCGTAACTCACAAGGAGCTTGATTTTGCACACGTTCTCGTGAGTATATTGAAAGAAACTCTTGTAGGCTTTTTTTCTGAAGGTGCCTGTTCATAAGGACCATTTACGCCGTATTCTCAGAGGCCAAGCATCAGTCTTCGACTTCACAAGTAGAACAAGTTTGGCCCGCACATTTTCTCCTCGAGTCCTGGAAAATCAAGTGGATGCCAAAAAGGTTGTGTCCGTTTGCCTTGCTGCAGTGTTTTGCTGACGCTTTCCATGTTACAGGAACTTGAAAAGGGTCTCAAGCTTACTTGCGAACAGTTCATCATGTCCGTAACGAAACTTACTGTCGAGCCCATGCTGTCTTTCGTGACTAAGGTGAGTTTTTCTCCAGTTGCAATTTTCGTCGATCAAGGGGGCCTATTACGAGCAGGTCACAGCCGTAAGAGTTTCTGTCTCAGCGAACAGAGCTCTCAAGGATCAGGCATTTGCAACGCCTGAAAAGGTTGCGGAAGTGATTTCTAAGGTATCCCGTCATTACATCTGAATTCTTTTCTAGATTCTCACCTTGTCTTATAGGTGGACTGTTCCCTCAAGGAGGAGCTACCAAATGTGATATCCAAGATGAACCTTTATCTGCCAAATCCATATACCCGCTCCATTCTTTTGAAGCCTATGAAGTAACCTATGCAACAAGCGTTCTCCATGCTTTGTGCTAATGAGCGTTAACTCTCCAGATCCAACGTTGTGGAGGCTTACTCTCAGGTGCTTAACATCGTCGAGGCAGAGTATAGTCAAGACGATATCAAAACTTCCCCTATCATCAGCATTACAGAACTGCAAGCTCACCTCGACTCCCTCGGCTAATTTCTGTGCGTAAGTTCTTCACAAAAAATTATCGCTTCTAACTCAAGCCCTTGATGTGCAGGATCAGCTCTATGATTTTCACGCGAAGTTTAATGAAAGTGAAAAGCTTTTATGTCATGCTCATGTCAGGAGAACCCGTCTTTACAAGCAAAGCGTGAGCTCTTGGGTGCTGAGAAGGATCTAGAATAGGTGGTGGTGTTCGAAGCGTCAGTGAGCGAGTTTATAAAGGCCGGTGATATTCTAAGCTTGACCACTGGAGCGACTGGCCCTCGTCCAACAAGTAAGGCGCTCTCTTTCTTTTCCTACTATTTCAATCGAGAGAATGAGCCAAGTGGTGAGATTTGTCACGGCAGGAGCTAGGATCCCCAGCAGCAGCAAGAGATTTGCATCGACAACCACTGCTGCGGCGGCCATGGGAGGCGGAAATCTCAAGATGATCGCCGTTTCCGGGTCTCTGAGGAAGGGCTCTTTCAACAGTGGTCTCGTACGCGCAGGTAAGATCTTTGTTTTAGCTATGTTGGTAATTGTGTTGCTGCTTGTAGCACGCGAGATTGTCAAGGAGAGCTTCGAAGATGTGGAGCTAGAGCATGTGGACATTTCCCAGCTCCCTTTCCTCAACACGGACTTGGAGCAAGACGGGCGATTTCCGGGGGTCGTGGAGGATTTTCGAGCTAAAGTCCTTGGGGCGGACGCTGTGCTGTTTGCAAGCCCGGAGTACAATTACTCCATCACAGGTGGAACTTTTCTTTGCGCTCTCACCGTTTCTCTTTGTCCTCCCTCTTGATTTCTTTCCGCATTTTATGTTCTTGTTTGTTGCTTGCAGCTCCACTCAAGAACGCATTGGATTGGGCGTCGAGGAATCCAAATGCGTGGGCCGGGAAGCCAGCCGCAATCGTGAGCGCCGGGGGCGGGTTTGGAGGCGGCAGAGCCCAATATCATCTGCGACAGGTGGGAGTTTTCCTCGACCTCCATTTCATCAACAAGCCCGAGCTGTTTGTTGCGGCGTTTCAAGCGCCGCCAAAGTTCGACTCGGACGGGAATCTCGTGGATCCGGACACTAGAACCCGTCTCAAAGCGCTTCTTCTCGCCTTGCGCCAGTGGACCCTCAAACTAAAAGAATGCTAACAGCCATAAACATAAAACTCCCGAACTGAAGATATCTGTTTAGAGTTTAAGAAATATACCTAGAATATTCATGAATATTCTAGTGTTCAATGGCTTTTAGCATTTCTTTAAAACACATACAAATAACTTCAAAATCAAGGTTTATTTCGCTTATTACTAACTAGTATTGCAGTGGAATTAGTTAATAAAAAATGATTATTATTTTAAACGAAAAGGATATTTTTATTAATTTTTATTATCTTGATTTTACAAGAGATATGTTAAGCCATACTAAAAGAGTACACTACTAAACCAAATATTATATATAGTACACATTAAACAACACCAAGAATAATAATTCTAAAATAAATTTTGCAGGAAAATGTAGGTCACTACCCAGACCTATACAAAAGTAATAAATAATTACTAAGAAAAGTTGTTTATCAATTTAAATATCTACCAAATCCTTGAATCAGCATTGATTGAATATTTAGGAAAATAAAATTTATGTGATACAAACATTTTATAATATTGAAATTACTCTTTTCATGAGTAGCATGGAAAGATCTAAAACAATACTACTTAATTCAAAAGTATATTTTACCCAGACTCAGAATAATAACATTATAAGTTTTTGTGTTAAAATAATTTATATACTATCCATACCCAGAAAAAAATGTGTCAATATAGTTAAATTTACTTTAAACTAAAGTAATGTTTAATTAGGCAGCAAAGCTTGCTCTGTCGCAAAAGAATGAACTTGGTTTATAACTAATGTAACCAAGACAACATTCTCCATCCTAGGGCATGGCAACACAATGCTAGTGTTTACTTAAATACTTTGTTGTTTACAAATAATTCTATCAAAACTTGGATTTAGTTAAATATTATACTTTTGATACATATTTTATTTCTCTGGGTTCATAACTCATTGTAGAAAGTTAAACAATATTGTTGTAGTACATACACACACACACACACACACACACACATATATATGTATATGTGTGTGTGTATACATGAGATAAAATTGATTATAGCTTATATTGTTATAAAATATATTAAAAATAATAACATTTAAAGAACACCAATGTATTATTACTTAGACCCAGACTAAAGTAAAACAAATATTAATAAGAATAATTATTATATATTTTAAATAAAAATATTAGTATTTACTTGGAAATATGAATATATTTAGATATTACCATCTAGACCTACACTAAAAAATAATATTATTAATATTACATTCAAAGTTTTACTTATTTGGAAATATGAAAAATAAATATTGGAAAGATAAAAACAATTAGTAAGAATAATTATTACTAATATAAATACTAGAACTGTGTTATTTTAATTGGAATATTAAATTTATTCTTAATAATTGATTGTGAAAAGATATATTAGTAATAGTAATAATTATTCTTAGTTAGTAATATATTAATTACTATTTCTATATTTTTGATTTCCTCCACGTCCTTAAAGATCATCTACGTTGAAAACTTTGGCATTAGCAACCTAGTTCCAACATTTCAAGGAACTGATACATTGACAAAGTAGCAAATTCCAGATTGCTCATGATCTCCTTGATGAAGAAAGCAAGCCAGAAGCCATGCAAGGAAAAATCACGCTGGCACATGAGGACTTGGCTTAAGATTTGAGCCACACTAAGATCAAGTAATAAGCAAATTGTATTCACTTTCCAGCTCATGGCTCGGGTGACACAGCTTCCATGATTGCCACTGTTCCATTTTCAAACGAGAATGGAACAGTGGCAATCGTATTTGAGAATGGAATTGTGGCAATCGTGGCCCGCATAAATCTGAACCTCAGGTCATATCCCTTTGCCCAACCCACAAAGCCACTGGGGGTTAAGGATTCTTGTTGTTTTGGAGGTAGGAATGCAAAGCAATGGATAGGTAGAATTAAAAGAGGGATTCTGCACCTGAGCGCAGACATTTGTGAACGATTCTAGAGAATATTCTCCCACTAGAGAAAGTACTTTCCTTCTCCCTTGACATTATTCTGACCCTTCTTATATGATTTCCTCTGGATGAGGAAGATTTACCTGGCTTATTTCTGATGTGAACCTTCAGGAAAATAAAGTACATCCTTCAGATGGATAGAAACTCTTGTGTAGCTCTCCCAGAGGGATTTAAAGTTCTGCAAAGATGGTGAAGTGCTCATTGCACCATTCTCTTCTGGTTAGTCCATTTCCTTTGCATGAAATTATCTCTTGAAAGCGGGAAGCTTCATCATTCAACCTCCTACATGAAATGCCCAAGACTGGAGCTACTCCTCGAGGCACCTGATCGCGGACAAGCATCTAAAGCACAGATCTCTTCGCCGCATGATGGTATTGCTACACTTCAAAACCCTGAAGGTTGAGGTTCTTCATACCTTCGTCAACAGGATCTGAAAGGTAAGAGAATGCTTGTAATGCTAGGTGCGCGACACAGGAAGCATAATATCCGGAGGGGGACCTAGGAATGATCTTTGCCACAATCTCCCCACCCTGTTCTTCGTTATGTTCGATGGGCTTTTTCAAAAGGAATATACTAGTCTCTATTTTCTTTTGCAATGCATGACTAAGATGCCAATGAATAGCTTGATTCTTCGTCTGTGATGAAACTATTAATTTTTCTTGCCGTCACATACATGATCATCTTCAAACGGACAAGATCGATCGATTTAAAGGCCTTCTCTCATCTCTCGTACACATAAGCAGGACCTACAGAGGCGAGATCTTCAAGTATAACGCAATATTCTTATCTCATTCACGTGTAGCAGAGCTTTTAAAACTTTGTTAATCGATAAATAAAGTTTGATTAGTGTGAGATGACAGACTTCACAGCATTTGTAAGGGTTATAAGCAAGGATCCAAGCTCAGAGTTGGAAAAAGAAGTCTATAGAGGAGAGAAAGAATGAAGAGTTTCGTCACGTTTATTCTTGTTCTTGCTGTGATCTCCAGCGTTTGCAATGCGCAAGACTTGAGTTTCACAGCTACGACTCCCGGCCTCACCAAAGGCAAGCCGAACACCTTCATTGGAACCACTGGCGATGAGATCGCGTCGTCTCTTCTCGCATCAAAGACTCCCGCAATGCTTTGGGGCTCGGTTCCTGCAATCACCAACGTCTGCCAGAAGATTACCCAGACTGAAGGCAGGAATACACTGCCAAGATAGATGGCGACTGGGGAGGATCCGAGGACCTCAAGCTAAAGGTCACAAGTACCTTGGTTTTTTCTCGTGCTGACGACTGGAAAGATGGTCGCAACCAGTGGCTCCAGATTCATCCGGGACACAGTTCGTGTTCACAGACAACTATGGCCGCAAGAGTGCTGTAAGTTTAGTGAGCTCCATGTGATTATCTTGCAGTAACAAAATTCACTGACTGCTTACCAGATTGTTTGCCCAAGTAACGCTGGAGGAAGTGGCTGTGGCGTGTACATGACCGGGAGTGACGTGGACAGTATCTACAACAAGCGCTTGGAACTCGTCTTTTCCTCGCAAACGCTTCCAGCGATCAGGTAGATCAGGCAGCTCGAAGATTCTTGCTTGGTGGCTGCAAAGAAGAAGCAGGGAAAGGTACCTGAGGATGATCCATAAGTTCTTCTCGTCGACTCCGTTCCTTCCTTTTGCAGGAGCAATAGGAGGTGCAATCACGGGTGTGTTGGGAGCTGGAGGCTACTCGGGACTGGGACCATTGGCACCTTTCTGCATCATTGGTGTTATGGGAGTGAGTGCTGGGCTTGGCGCGGCTGCTGTGCGTGAGGGCGTGCTTCCCACGCGACGCAACGGTGCATACTTCCACGGGCGAGACGAAGATGATGAGCCAGCTCCAAATCGGTGACAAGGTATCCATACTGATCACCGCTTCCACCAAACTTTTTTCTCTGGTCCTGTCGTGAAGGTTGGGACGCTCAAGAACGGGAGGCTCGACTTCAGTGAAATCTACGCTTTCGGGCACCGAGACAGAAGAGTGACTTCGTCAACCTGGAACTATCCCACTCAAAGACCATTGAGCTCTCGCGCCTGCATTTCCTGCCAACGCTGCTCAAAGCTGGTTTGTGTCAACCAAACTGACGAACCATCTCTAGGTGGTGGAGTCCAATTCAAGCGTGCGCAAGACGTTCTCGATTTTGATGGCTCCCCTCCCAGTCACACGAATTCCCGGCCTCTTCAATCCATTGACTCTCCAAGGAACTATCGTCGTCAACGGAGTCGCCGCCTCGGTCCACAGCGATTGGTTCCTGGATACCCTGTTTGACACGTTCGGCCTCACTGCTTACCTCCCAGCAGCATACCAGGCGATCCTCTCCCCCGCGCGATTGCTCTACACACTCCTCGGCCCCAATTCCTACCTCGCGCTCTACAAATGGATCGACGCCAGGATCAATGTCGCCGAGTTCGGCACTGACAATGGCGGCAAGATTGCAGCGGGGGCGCTGCTCGCGTGTGGAATCGCGTCCCTGCTATCACTCAAGAAGACCCCGAATTTCGCCTAGAACAAAACGTCGGACAATAATAGCTGACTTGTTTAATGGTAAAGTGCCGCGGGTGCTCGCTCCTCAGATCGCTCCTCAGATGATCACCCACATAGAGGTGACTATCCTATCATAAATGTTCCTGATCTCATCACCACCTCTGTCAGGTCGCATTTTTTCTATGGCCCACTCTAGCGCTGACTGATTCTTGGAGAACTGATTAAGGAACGAGCATCTAGACGCTGCTGCTAGATCAAGATCTATGTGCCTCGTCTGGATCACACTAGCCCCGTTTTGTCTATGGCTTTCTAACATTGCAAATAGGAGTTTATATTGCTTATTTTTTTCCCTAAGAACAGAGACATGGCCTCCATCTCCACAAGGAGAGGCTCAAGGAATTCTATCAGCTCACACTGTGTTAACCGAGGAATAATATAAATAAAATGGTATAATAATTTTAAAATAAATATGATAATATTATTATAAAATTATATAAATAATAGATTACTTATGAAGTTAATTTTATAAAGACTGAAACTACAAAATCCCCATTGCAGCTTAGGGCAGTAAAGTATCTTATAATAATTCTTTTCTGTCCACAATCTACTCTTTAATATTATTATTATTAA